GTGCAGCAGGTGTGAAAGCAGGGGTGAAAGCAGTGGTTGCAGCAGCAGCGGCAGCAGCAGCAACAGCCAGTGCAGCAGCAGGAGCAGCAGCAGCAGGAGGTAGGTGCAGGTGCATGGAATGACGGCTATTGCCATCTTCAGAACCACACCCTCCTCTACTCCTGCTTCCATGCAACCCCAAGGCCTCACCTCTCCTTAACCTACCATCATTCGCAATCTCCTCTCTCTCGCCGCTCCTCCTCTTACAACCTCCTCCACTCAGTCGCAAGTCGCTTAGCCTACGCTTCTCCCCCTCGCCCCTCCCCCTCTCTCTCACTCGCTCCAACTCTCTCGCTAGTGTTTGCACGCTCACTAGACACGCACTGGTCCGCGTGAGACGACTCAAAGCACACCGTTTCTACATCAGAAGCTGTCTCCTCTTCATCTTCCTCCTCTTCCAAGTCCTCTTCCTCATTCTCCTCCTGCTCTTCCTTTCCATCCCTCACATGCTCCTGGTCCTCCACCCGTCCAATCCCCTCGCTTCCCTCACTCAACCTGCCACCTTCGTCAAGCCCTTCTTCTTGCCTCTCTCCCTGCCTCCACCGTCTTTCCAAGGACCATGTCCTAGGCTCTCCTGCTCCTGCTCCTGCTCCTGCTCCTGCTCCTGCTCTTACTCCTGCAGCAGTCTGTTTTGCAGCTGCGGAAGCAGCACCACTGCCCCCCCCTCTACTCCCGTGCCTCCCTGCGTTTCTTGCCTTGAAATCCCCCAGTCGCTGCTGCGGCCACTGCTGCCGTTCCGATCTCTGCTCCTCCAGCTGCTCCTGCTCCTGCTCATGCTCATGCTCATGCTCATGCTCATGCTGCTCCTGCCCCTGCTGCTCCGGCAGTGGCATAGCAGCACGCATCATCGCAGCACCACTCTCCTCAGCCCAAGTACCCTGCATCAACGCATGCTCTTCCAAGCACACAAGAGGAGGACGCAACAAGCCAGCAGCAACACCACGGCAAGAAGCCGCCGCTGCTGCCACCGCAGCAGAAGCTGCTGCAGCAGCAGCAGCAGCAGAGGTGGTTGGTATACCCACAAGTCCACTCCTCACGTCCCCCCCTGCAATGCCAACCTCTACAGAGGCGAAGCCAGACATATTTTGCTGCTTACCATGCCTCTCCCCATGCCCCCGTCTCCTCTGCTTGCTGCTTCTGCCACTCCAGCTCCTTTCCTCTGCTTCATCCGCACACCCTGACATCCTTGCTGCCTCTCTCTTCTTCCTGCCAACCCTAGCACCACCAGCAGCAGCAGCGGCAGAGGCAGCAGCAGCAGAAGCAGCAGCAGCAGACGGAACAGGTACGGAAACATTCTGCGCTGTTGTGAGTGGTGTTGCCTCTCCTGCTGCCACTGAACCTGCACTGCGCCTCACAGAAGCTGCAGCAGCTGCCACTGCTGCTGCGGCCAGTGACAGGGCGGGTGAGGAAGCTACAGGCACCTCAACAGGACAAACCAGTGCAGTAGCAGCGCCAGCAGCAGCCACAGAAGCCGTGGGCATGGCTGTACCAGCGGCGGCAGCGGCAGCGGCAGCGGCGGCGGCTGCAATAGCTTCTCTCTTGGTGTCTAGATGCAACAGCTTTGCAAACGCAGAGAGGCTGCCAGCAGCAGCAGCATCAGCATCGATAGCATCAGCAGCAGCAGCAGCAGCTTCGCCAAGAGCAGCAGCAGCAGTAGCGGAAGCAGCAGTGGCACCACCGTCACTAGCAGTGCGGATTGCAGCAGCATTCCTGTACGGGCGAGCACGAACACTGCTACCTGTACCCGCACCCTCCTTTTCACCAGCACCAGCAGCACCAGCAGCAGCAGCAGCACCAGCAGCAGCAGCAGCACCAGCAGTCTCCAGTGCAAGCATCCTCTCCACCCCCTCTCGCCCCTCCCTCTCCCTTGCACCGGCACTTTTCCTGTGACTCCTCTGCCTCTTCCTCCGCCCTGAACCATTCAAATTCAGCTCCTGCTGCTGCCCGTCGTTTTCCCATCCGCACTCTACCTTGTCCCACTGCTCTCCTGCTCTCGTCTCTACCCTCGCCCCTCTGCTGTCCCTCATCCCTCTGCTGCCTTTTGTCCCCTTGCTCCCCCTCTTCTCAGTTTTGCCTTCCCGCCTCCCCTCATCCTCTCGCTCCTGCACCTGATGTTTCCTTCTCCTGCCTCTTCCTGCTGCTCGGTGGTGCCTATGTCGCCTTATGAAATCGGGCAGCTTGAAAGTTTTCAGCCTCACGGGCAGGAGGGCCAACGGAAGAAGCAGATTGGCGGTCTATGGGAAAAAGGACAGACGGAAAAAACGCAGCGCAGGTGGGCGGGAGAATGGGAAAGGGAAACATAAATTAAGACAACACGGAAACTATAGAGCACCCAATCAAGCACGCAACTCACTGAATCAATCAACTCATAACTCACAACACATGCCTTTAGGGCGAGAGGGAGAGAGAGAGGATTTTTGAGGCGCCTCAAAAATCAAGCACGCAACTCACTGAATGAATCAACTCATAACTCACAATACATGCCTGGAGGGCGAGAGGGAGAGAAAGAGCGCAAGAGCGAGAACGAGAGTGAGAGCGAGAGGGAGCGAAAATGCAGAAAGTGTCGCTCGCCCCTCACCTCGCCCCTCACCTCGCCCCTCACCTCGCCCCTCACCTCGTCCTCCCCTGCAATCAGTGCCCCACTTACTGAAATTTCTTTGCCCTTATCAGCTGCACAAGCCCTGGCCATAGCAGGGGCAGGGGCGGAAGCAGTGGCAGGGGGGGCGGAGGGTGGAGTACGTGTGGGTGTGGGGGTGCGCGCGCATGGCTGGATGGCAGCAGCGACTGGTGGGAGCGAGCTTTGAAGTAATGGAGTGGAAGGGCGTGGAGAGGAAGATGGTTCTGCTGCCACCATCAGGCATGGTGCTGCAGGTTTTGACCATGCTTCTGCTTCCCCAGCTCCTGCTGCTGCTGCTGATGGTAATGCTTCTACTGCTTCTACCGTTTCTACTGCTTCTTCTGGTGTTAGTAACTGTACGGGTGCTGGCAGTGGTACTACTTCTGCTGTTGTTGGCTGTGCTGCTGCTACTGTTGATGGCGCTGGCGGTGCTGCTGCTGCTGCTGCTGCTGCTACTCTCAATGGTGATACCTCCAGCAAATCTTTAGCCCTCGGGGGTGACTCAGCTGATGAACCAACTTCAGGAGTCTGCTGCACCATAAGAGCATCAGAGCAAGCATCTGGCAATGGCAAGGAGGAGAAGGAAGAAGAGGCATTAGCAGGAAGCACCGCAGCCTGAACATCCGCCTGCCCTTTCCTCTTGCATTGAGGTGAACTTTGAGGCGCCTCAGGAAGCACCGCCGCCTGCACATCCGCCTGCCCTTTCCTCTCGGCTGTTGTCTTCCCAATCTCATCACCTCGCTCACCTCGCCCCTCCTCGCTCCCTCCCACCTGCTGCTCTTCCTGCTCCCGTGCCGTTTCACCATCCCTCCCACTGCCATCTCTCCCACTGCTCCTCTCTCTCTCCTCCTTCCCTCTCTCCTCCTTCCCTCTGTCCTCTCTCTCTCTCTCCTCCCTCCCTCTCTCCTCCCTCTCTCTCTCCTCCTTCCCTCTCTCCTCCCTCTCTCTCTCCTCCTTCCCTCTCTCCTCCCTCTCTCTCTCCTTCCTCTCTCTCTCCTCCCTCACTCTCTCCTCCCTCCCTCTCTCCTCCTTCACGCTCCCCTCCTCCTCAGCTTCCATCTCCTCGACCAAGGCCCCTCCAGTGGCTCGTCTTTCTCCCTCGCTGCCACCAGCCTCGGTCTCCCCTGTCGCGGAGTTTCCAACACCCATCGGCGGCGCCCCAACAGCAAAGGGCCTCACCCCCGTATCCCTCACCACTTCCATGCCACCCCCACTGCCAGCAGGTGTCGCAGGTGCATTGACAGCCGGAGCACCAGCAGCAGCAGTACTAGGAGCAGCAGAAGCGGCAGCAATACTGGCAGCAGCAGCAGCAGCAGCAGCAGACGGGGAAGCAAGGAAGGGAGCAGGATGCAGCGATTGTTTGCCTGGTGTGCATGGGAGGCCTTGTGGCATAGACGAATCTGCAGCATCCAAACTCGGGTCAGCGGCAGCATCAGCGGCAGCAGCACCAGCAGCGGCAGTACCATCAACAGCAGCAGCTTCTGCTGCAGGGTCAGAACCAAGAGCACCTGCAGCAGCAGTGGTGGCGAGAGTGAGAGGCACAGGCACATTGCTGGGTGCACGCGGTGGCAGCTGAGTGTCTCTGGCAGTGCTGACTGCTGTGGCAATCGCAGCAGCAGCAGCAGCAGCGGCAGGGGCGGAGGGGAGAGTGGGGCGAACAGGAGTGGAAAGCAGAGGGTCGCAGAGATGGAAGGTGGGAGCCGGAGCGACCCCAGCGGGGGCAGAGAGAGCAGTGACTGAAGTGACTTGAGTTGAAATCTCCACAGCAGTGTGCTCACACACCACAGTGACTGGCTCTGACTCTATCCCGCACACCTGCTCCTCCTGCTCCTTCTGCCTTTCCTCCCTTTCGCATGGTGCTTGCCTCTCTTCACACTCACGTACCGCTGCAGCAGCAGCAGCAGCAGCAGCAGCAGCAGCAGCAGCAGCAAGAACAGGATGAGCTAGGCCCCCATCACAACCGGCGGCATCACCCTCAGCTGCTGCAGCAGGGGCAGCAACTGTCAGCTCTGTAGACTCATCTCCCCCTCTCCCTGCACTCTCTTCCGCCTGCCTCCGCCCCTCCCCGTCCCCTCCACCTCCATGCCCAATACAGCACGCTTCCACCTGCCTGTGCCCCTCTGCACTCCCTCCCGCCTCCTGCCCATCCCTGCTCGCGTGCGCCCCTCCCCATCCGCGCTTCTGTGACAGAATCACATCCAGCCCCGACAGGCCCACAGGCTTGGGTGCATCTGCTGCCGCTGCAGCTGCAGCTGCTTCTGCTGCTGATGCTGCCACTGCTGCCGCTGCTGTCGGTGCTGCTGCTGTGCCTGCTGCTACTGGAACTTGCAGTTTTCCACAGGCAGCGAGTGAGAAGTTGTCATGCCCAGTCAGCTGGTGGTGAAGACAAGTTGCAGCAGCAGGATTGTGGGCCATGCTGACATATGGTGGTGCTGGTGGTGGTGCTGGTGGTGTGCTGCTGCCATGTGCCATGGGAACAGGCATATCATGGCCGTTCACATACCCCATCTCCCTGCCTGCTTCCCTCTCTCCCCCTGCTTGAGCCCTCACCAATGCCACCTCATCCCCTTCCTTGCCTCCCTCGCTTCCTCTCACTTCCACCTCCTCCTCCTCCTCGTCCTCCTCCCATCCCTCCTCCTCCTCCTCGTCCTCACTCTCTTCCCTCTGCTTCTCCTCCACCCTCCACCTGCCCAGCAATCTCCGCCTCTCCCTCAACCACCCATGCCGGCATCTATCCACACGCGCAGCCCCGCTCTGCCCCATCGCTCTCCACGCCGGTGCAAACGCCACAACCGCCAGCCGAACCAGCAGCCTCCTCGCCCCAACCCTCCCCCCCCACTTCTCCCCCTCCATACCTCTCCAGGATCCTAACGCGAAGGACGGGGGGTCTGCTGTGGGTTCGGTGGGGCTGCTGCTGCTGCCGTGGCAGCCGTGCCTGCTGCCTAAACCCTCGTTCGCATAATCTACTTGCTCCAACTCTTGCTCCACGTGCCACCGTTTCCTCTTGCGTTGCCACGAGCAGCCTGCGGGCGAAAAGATGCGGGACTCAAGACACGAGGGGTGCAGGCAGGTGGGGTGCGGGCAAGAGGGGTGAGGACAGGTGGCGTTGCCAGTGCACGTGCAGGGGGGAAGGGTGGAGAGCGAGGAGGGAGGAGACGGGGAGGATGATGGTGGGGAGCGAGCAGGGGACGGGGAGCAAGAGCGAGAGTGGGAGCGAGAGTGAGAGCCAGAGCGAGAGCGAGAGTGAGAGCGAGAGCGAGAACGAGAGTGAGAGCGAGAGCGAAAGGGGGAGGCGACGAGGACGGGCGTGTCAGTGGACGTGGGGCTAAGGAGGTCGATGATGCCGTCTGCTGCTGCTGTGTTGTTGTTGTTGATGTTGTTGCCGGGCAAAGTTGGCGGATCCTGAATGTGCATATGCACAGGGATGTGCTGCTCTTGCTCTTGCCCATGCCCATGCCCATGCCCATGCGCATGCCCATGCGCATGCCCATGCGCATGCCCTAGCCCAGCAGACGCATGCAGTTCCCCGCTGCTGCTGCCACTCGTTGATCTCCTCCGCCTGCTGCACACTCCCCCCACGCCCTTCCTTTCATCCGCCTTGCTTTCTCCCGTGCCACCTGCTCTCCTCCCTCCCTGCATGCCGCCTTGCTCCTTCACCTCCTTCACCTCCTTCTCATCACTGGACACTTCATCCCGTTCCTCACCCACCCCTCTCACACCCTTGTGTCCCTCCTTCTCACGCTGCCCCTCCTTGTCCCCTTCTTCCTCCTCTTTCTCCTCGTCTTTCTCATCCCCTTGCTGCTCCTCCTTTCTATGATTCATCCAATATCGTTTCTCCCCAACCTTCTCCCGGCTCTTCCTCACTTCCCTCACCCCCCTCCCCTGCCCCATCCACCCTCTCCGTTGCATCTCACCTTCCCCCTCCTCCTCTTCCTCCTCTTCCTCTTCCTCGTCTTCCTCATCCTCCTCATCCTCTTCCTCTCCGTCCTCCTCCTCTTCGTCCTCTTCCTCCTCCTCGTCCCCCTCCTCCTCCTCCCATTCCTCCTCCTCCTCAGTCTGCTTCAGCTCAAGCCTCCTAGACCGTCTAACTCTCGTCGCCGCTTCCTCTCCATCCGAACCTCGTCTCCTTCCTCTCACCACCTCCCTACCACCGCCAATCTCCCACCTCAGCTTCCTCCTACCACCGAAACCCCGCCTGCCCCTCCCTCTGCGTCTCCCGCGCGCTCCTCTCTCCCCCCTCCCTCTCCCACCCCCACCACCTCGCCCACACCCGCCCAACCGACCTTCTGAACCTGACCCGCTACCACTGCTCCCCTTAGAATCACCAGATGTGCTACTATTGCCGCCTCTCGCCCCTTTGCCATCTCCTCTCGTCCCTCGCCGGTCTGTACCAGGAGGCCAGACGTGGGGTGGCGAGGGGCATAAACGGCTGTGTTGGCGGGCAGTCTGCAATGACCCGCTTTCTCCCGCCCCCACAACCTCCCTCTGCCTTGCCACAGCAGCAGCAGCAGCAGCAGCAGCGGCTCTTCGGCTGGCCAGTGGCAAGTCGCTGTCTGCGCCACCACTGCTGCTGCTGCTGCTGCGACAACGACTGTGGCTACGACTGCTGCTGCCACCGTTGCTGCTGCGGCTGCGGCTGCGGCTGCTGCTGCGACTGTGGCTGTGGCTGCTGTGGCTGCTGCTGCTGGTTCCACAAGTGCTGTTGCTACTTCTCTCGCCTTTCTCCCTGCCTCGTGCGACCCTTGGACCCCCTCTCCTCCCCCATCCCCTTCTGCCACCACCATCCTTCCTACCCACGTTCTCGTTTTCGCTGCTGCTGCTGCCGCTCCTGCGGCTGCTCCTGCTCCTGCTTCTGCTGCTGCTGCCAGTGCTGTCACTGCGACTGAGCGTCATCGGGGTGTCCTCACTAGGAACAGATGCCTCATCGCCACTGCTGCTACCCCTGGAGCTGAAACGGAAAGATTCCACATCCTCGTCATCCTCACTATCATCGTCCCCATCATCATCACCACCATCAGGAAACTCGTATTTGGCAGCTGCAGCAGCAAGAGGAGGGGCAGCAGCAGTGTTGCGAGTGGTGGCGCCGCTAGCAGCAGGATGCAAACTGTTGCATTTGGGGCGACGGATAGATGTTCTTTGAAGAGCCCCTTCAACATTACAACCACCACCACCAATATCAGCACTGCTCGTCCTTCTATCGCAGCTCTTTATCCTGCTCCTGCAGCTTCTGCTGCTACTGCTGCTTCTATTGCTGCTTCGGTTGCTACTGCTCCTCCTCGTGTTGCCACCGCTGTGACCCTTACATCTCTCTACTGTATCGCCCTGTATCCTACTGCTACCATCACCACTGGCACTGCCACGCCTGCACGCACTGATGCTGCCACTTTCCCCACTACACCGCGTCTCCTTCACGCTGCTCTCTCCGCCCGCACCGACCCTACAACCCGCCTCCTCTGTCCCATGCATTCCATGTGCACCGCGCGCCCCAGCTGCTACATCCGTTCCATGCGCCCCAACGCCAATGGAGCGTACAGCAGCAGCCGTCCAGCCGCCATGGCCTCGTGGCAGCCTGCCTCGCCTCGCCTCACACGGCCATGCCCCTCCCGCCCGTTCCCCCCGCCCGCCTGGCTCCCTCCACACTCCGTCCCCGTCTTGAATTCGTCTGCTCACATCTGCTGCTCCTTCCGCTTCCCTTTCTGGTTTTCCTGCCCCTACTGCTCCTGCTGGGGCTGCTGCTGCTGCTGCTACTGGGGGTGCTGCTGCTGCTGCTGGGGGTGCTGCTGCTGCTGGGGGTGCTGCTAATCCTGCTGGCGATCCGGCTCCTTTCTGGGCTGGAGCCGCCCCTACTGCAGCAGGAGCAGCATCAAAACCTTCTGCCGTGCCTTCCCCCCAAGCTTCACTTCCACGAGACGCCTCATTGGCCACCACAATAACCACTTCCGCTGAACCGACAGGAACCTGACCAAGCCTAGCCACGGCACCAGCAGCACCACCAGAGGAGTAGCCTGGAAGCTGAAACGGGCCGTTGAGACAAAGGCTGACAGGAACATCAACTGCACACTCCAACTCCTCCCCTCCCACACGCGCATCCCTCTCGCTCTCCACCTCACACCCCAACACCACGCATCCGTTCCTCCCGCGCCCCACCTCCCCCTGCCCGCTTTTGCCGCTCTCCAGCTCCCCCTCCGCCTGCATAACCCGCCTACTCAACACATCCGCCACCCTCAGAACTATACCCCCTCCGACAGTCTCCCTTTCCTCGTCTCCCCTCGGCCTGCTCGCTTTCCTCTCCTCCCCCTCCTCGCCTCCTCCTTCGGCCCCTCCAGTGCGCTCCATCACCACAATTGCGACCTCCCTTTCCTGCATGCGACAGGTGAAGCCGCCCAGCCCATCCCTTAACTCTGCCGCATACGACGCACCCAACCCTGCCAACCGGCCTGCTAGACTCCCCTTCCCATCCTCCTCCTCCTCCCCATCCGCTTTGTTCTTCTCCCCTTCTTTGTCTTCTTCTTCTCCCCCATTTCTCTGCTCCCAGGGAGGTTCCTCCTCCTCCTCCTCCTCCTCTTCCCTGTACCGTCTCCCACTAAAAGAGGCTTCCCGTCTGCTATCCGTACCACCATCCCGCCCTCCATTCCTCCTCCACTCCTCCCAACCCGTCTCTCCGGGCTGCAAACTGCCGCCAGCACTCTTCCCCGTGTTCCCCCCGCGTGATTCCCAATCTTGGTCCCTATCTTGACCGCTACTTCCGCTCAGCGCACACTCCCCCACTCCCATCCGCCCATTTATTCCCCTCGCCGCCTCTCCTGCACGCTCCACGGGCCCCCCTGCTACATCCACACTCCAACTCATATCCCCTACTCGCCTCCCGTTTACACCGCTTCCCCCGCATCCCCGCTCCGCTCCGCCTGCCCACTTACCCGCTGCTTCCTGCTCATTCTTTCTTCCGCTCGGTTGCTCCGCGCGGTTCCTAGCGGCGGCGCGCGCTCTCTTCCGCACCATGAGCGCGCGCTCCAGCTCCAGGCCTTTGGGGGTCATCTTGCGCTGGCGCTTCTGCGCCGTCCCCGCGCAATCTTGCGCCACAATCTCCGCATGAGGGGGACTTGAAGGCTCGGGTCCTTCCACTAACGTCGCTCCTACCCCTCTCGCCATGCTCCCAAGACATAGAGCATGTGCATCCGCGCTATATGCGCCTGAGCGGAAGCCTGGAAGTACTCCGCTTAGTATCTGCTGCGGCTGCACCACTCCCTGTTTCCCCTGCCCCTCCTTCTCCTCCTGCTCCTGCTGCTGCTGCTGCTGCTGCTCGGGAGGCAGCTTGAGAGATTCTACATGGGATTCGAGGCCCATTCAGACGCCGTCAAACGCGGAGAGCCTCTTCCGCACCAGCTGTGAAAATGAGGGTTGGAGGGGCTGGCTTAACACGAGCAACGAGGGGACTGAGGGAACTTCAACAGCCATGAAACCCTAACGCTACGTGGTCTCAAGCCTGGACTGACAAAGCGGTGTGAAGATTTACGGCTCTTGGAACCACGCTCGTGGCTCCCCGAATCTGCTTACGTCGATAGTGAATTCGAAATTAGGGTTCGAGTAGTAAGGGTTTGTTTTGAGACGCGAGGGACAAGCGAGTAACTCGGGTGAGAACAAGATATGGAGAACCGAGGGGAAGAGAGTTGGTGTGCTGGTGGACCGCTAAGAGCCAGGAGAGAATGAAATGCGAATGGAGAGGAAACAAGTCCAACGTCCAAGCATAAGAGTCAGCGGAGTGCTGCTGCCGGGCTGCTACATTTCTTGCCGGTCAAAAGTCATGGGACCACAGAGGACGGCACTGATTTCAAGCTACTTCCTCGGAAATTCGTTGAGGAACGAGCAGCAACATCGGAGAGGTGAAGCGAGTCACAAAAATGGTGGCAGTTGGGCCTCCTGTGCCTGTTTTGGTGGCTGCTCATGTGTCACGAAATGAGACCATAGGGTGGGGGGGGGACACCTGTATTGGTTTGGTTGTTTGCTGAGGTGGGCTGTGACACCTCCTTCCTACCAAGCCTAGGAGCGAGAGAAAGGAGGTTTGGTGGATTTCATAAGTTGCAATTTCAGACTTCTGCTGCGGCCTGACGTAGCAGCCACCCACCACTGAAAGGGCATCCAGCAAGGCTCGCGATTAAAGCGACGGTGCACATTTGCCACCCAAAACCCAGAACCCTGGCGAACTGTTACTGCGGATGGAAAGTGTCCGCACGAAATCCTGGTTTTCGCCAGCCAGCACTTTCGCGCTGGCAAGCCTGGTTCAAAAAAAAAACTTCTGAACCCAACACTGCCAAAAGTTGCCCGTCGCTTTAAGTTTTGCGACGCCAGCGAGTCAAAAGTCTTGCTTTCGTGCTACTTCGCGAGCCCTATCTTCAGTGTCGCACAGGGTGTGGCGGGGCAGCAGAGCTTAGCAGACCACAATCCCCCAGATCCCGCACCAATCAAAAGCCGAGCTCGAGCATTGGCTCCGCGAGACTAGAATCTGGCACTAGGGTACTGTAGAGGTGATGGCAAGTTTTGGTCAGAGGAGAAAAAACCTCCAAGAGAGGCAAATTTATACCAACTACGCCTATTTTCAAGGCATCCTGCCCAGAACCAGAGCAACATTTGTTCACGTTTCAACACGTGGTGCATCATTGCACAAACACGAAACCGTAAACAGGTGGAAATTTTGAAGGGCGCCAGCTGGTTTGGCACAGACAGCGTCCTGGTCTCTTCAGACACAGGTTCGCATCGCAGTGAACCTGATTGGCCTTGATTTGATGGGATGATAAGGAGAGAAGCATGTGTGGACGACGAAGGTACACTGCGGATGTATTTACCTTATAAAGTAAACGTAATCTGTAAATACATACCCAGACAACACTTCATTACCTCATGACACCATAATCATGGCTCAATAATCCTTCAATTGTGCATGGTGAGAGATTATTTTAGAAGCATATCGTGAACCTATGTAGTCCACTGTTAACAATGCAGCATACACTGCTAACAACTTCTCTCCCTCCCTAACAAACCCACCCATGTCTACTTGAAGGTTTAACCAGCATTGGAAAAACGATATATGTATTCCAGTTGATTTCATTGGTAGAATTAATCATAGGCCAAGGCATTCCGCCGTTGTTTCTCTCATGTATCACCAGATGAAGTAACATGCCTAACACTTCCTTCTGAGCGCTGATTCCTCTCCCTCTCCTCCTTTTCTACCCGATCCCTCTCTTCCACTTCCCGTCTCAACCTCTCCAGCTGCCTCCGACTCCTCTCCTGCTCCTTCTCTGGTCGACCCCGTCGCTGCATCAATCTACGCCGAGCAACCTCTTCCGACAGCTCCTCCTCGCCCTCTCCCTGCAACCGTCAGCCAGCAGACATTCCAAAAGTTGGGTAAATTCACTGGATCACAGGGAAAACACTGTACAACAGCATCTGTCCAACTAGACCCTCCACCGGGGCCATTGATGCACCATGTAGCAGGCAACTGCTGTTGGATTGGAGGGCTGACGAAGCAATCCCACTCCAACAAGCATCAATGTCCTCAGTTCTGCCTCAATGAACCTTTCATACACTTCCCCAGACCAAACGACCTTTCATCCTTCTCAAACTATGGGCCTATGTGGTTTTGCAGTAAAGCCCTGCCTAGCATATAAATTCTGTGCATCTCTCATGTTTTGGCGTGAAAAAGGGGGCACTCACCTGATTAAGCGAAAAGGGATGTCTTCGAGGGATGAACCGCACTGTCATGGGATCCACGCCCTCCGGCACCGGGTCTCCTTCCACCAGCACTAGCTCCGGCTTCTTCCACCCGTGCTCCTTGCGACGCTGCTGCCTGTGGTACTCCATCTTCTCGTTAGTCAGAGGCGGCAATGGCTCCAGCTCAACCAGAGTCGCATTGCCTATGCGGTAATTCCGCACCGATGTCGGGTCGTCGAACTCGCGAATCACGCGCAACCTGAGGACCCATGGAGAGGAAGAAAGCAGAGCGTTGGAAAAACGGAAAACTTCCGCAATTGCCCGAGACCCGTTCGTGAAGGCCAGGAAACTCTCGGCACTTACTTCCGTGACATGAGACTAGGGCGTGCGAGCTGGAGCAAGGCGAGACTTACAAGCTGCGATAACGATACGGTTCTTATCCCTTCTAAGCACAATACCCGCATTAAAATTATATATTTCAAGCACGTACGGCACAGATCTGTCGGCCGCAATGAATCCTCGCCGAGCTAGCGAGTCCACAGGCCTCTCCTCCTGTCCCCTGGCTCTGCGAACGAGCACTGCGCTGACCCCGACCACGGCCAGTACAGCTGCTGCCACTCCGCCTACCGTCCACCATTTTGCCGATCCGGTGGGTAACGGTAAGCGCTCGAGGAACGAGAACTGTCGAATAGGAATATAGATGGGGATAGGATATAGATGGGGACGCAGACGCGAGTGTTTTGGACAGAAAATACTTGGGCCATGAGGGGAACCTGACGCGAACGAAATATGTTAAAGTCAAGCACAGCGGAAACAATGGGGGAAGCGGGACAAGGGTAACGGTTCTCACGGCAGTAGATTGCTCGCTGACGAGGTTCTTAGAATCCTGCGACCCGTGCACCACAACCTTAACCAGCTCTTGATCTCTCCCGTCCTTCTCGGTCCCTCCCTTGCTCTTCGCTACGGATTTATTTTTTGCGGCTTGGACAAGGACGACGGACCTTCTGGCCAGCTGACAGCGACGATGCGGACTGCTTCGGAGGAACGCATCCGGCCGTTCCAGTCTGTGAATATGGTTTGAATGGCTGGAAGGGGAAGAGAGAAGAGGTCTGGCAGAGCTACAACGAGGGGAAAACGGAGATCTCTGCCAGCAGGCGACGGCGTCTGAGCCACGTGTCACGCCGCTGGTGCTACCAGGGCTGACGGCACTGCTCGTGGTGGTGGTGGTCACGGCCACCAAGCGGGCTTGTTGGGCAACGTAAGACATCGAGGTCGCTGCCATTATGTGCAACTAACGGCTAAAACAATGAATGGCTTCTGTGACTAAGAAGCTAACACAAGGCGAAATGCTTCATGAACGGAGAAACTGAAAGAAGAGGCACATCGGTGGGACGAACATCACATTTCGAAATACTTCCAGCAGCCAGGTACACTTTGAATAGCTGAGATGAGAGATACTGCACTGAGGGGAAGATGGCAGGCTTCTCGTACCTCTACTTCCGCTGGAATTTGCAACAGAGATGGGCATGCCTCTTCCATCCCTGTCTACCGTCGATCTAAAACAAAAGTCAGATAATAGCCGCCGGATGGATCATGACTTCTGGAAAAAACATTTCCTTTCAGCACATGTGGTGTTTCCGAGGCTGCTGCACACGTTTGGTGCCAGCGTGGAGCCCGAATAGTTCAGTTCGAGTGGCCCCACCTTATCTGGCGCTGGGTGGACCACAGCAGCTCGAAAGGTGAGGTTCGTGCAGTGCGCGGGAAAGCAAATAATAGGCTGATCGGGTGTGCTTGAACCACAATTACCGAGCCTAGTAAGCAGTTATTTCAACATGTTACGAGTGCAATTGAGTGAACGAACGAGAATTGCACTATCGAAGCAAGAGTACCATGAGCGAAGGCATGAGCGAAAAATATATAGCGAAACTACAGTGGTAACGGTAATGGACTGTGGTTGTCGCGCGACGGGCCTGGGACTGAGGTTGGGAAAAAGTGTCGAAGCGGAGGCCCGGAGCGCGGGTTACCCGCCGAGCTGTGAGGTTGGGGTGCGATGTGCGAAGGTGGTGGGCGGATTGTCGATGCGAGGGTTGCGAGTGGTAACGGTGCTGACTGTGGTGCTACAGTGATGTACGCGTTGAGCAGGGATGCGAAGTAAGGAAAAGGAATTTTCCTTACACTACCCCCCCCCCTAAGGAGGTCCTCCTTACGAAAGTGCGTGTACATCCCTGAAATTTCGGCTGCGCAGATACTCGGTGAGGACAGGGTGGTTTTCGATTCTGTCCAGGGGAACCCAATTGTCTTCGGTGGGTGTATGGTTCTTCCAGCGGAGTAAGAACTCGATCCTTCGGGCTCCTCGAGGGTCGCGAACTCTGTGACTCAGGATTTTCTCGGGGGTGATGATTGGTTCAGTTGGTGGTCTTGTCATGCTGGCTGGGCGATTGCGTGGCAGTTGGCTCGTGGACAGGACGTAAGGGCGAAGCAGGCTGACATGGAATGAGGGGCTGACGTACCAGTCAGCAGGGAGGAGGAGGTGGGCGGTGACGGGTGTAAGCATGTGGCTTATGCGAAATGGCCCGCAGTATCGGGGGCGGAGTTTCGGGGTGATGGGCAGTCGGAGGTTCTGAGTGTCAAGTAAAACT